TTTCCACCCCCTCCCTCTCACTTCACTGATCTTTATTTGTCAGAAATAAGCTCTAGAGATAACAGTCTGATCCAAAAAGAAAACTTGATTGGCTTATAAATGAGCTTGCACAGTGTCAGAAATGTGTCTCAGTGATCAAATGCAACTCTCGACTTTGTTTTTTTTTAATCCAGCTTCTCATACGTTTCTTCTATTATTCTCAGACTGGACAGGCTAATTTGTCTTAAATTGGTTTATTTTATTTGCTCCTTGTTTCTCTCTCAGGTCAGAAAACAGTAAATGAGACTATTTTGTCTGATTAGACCTCTGACACAGTGACAAATTCACTTTCTGAGGTTGCACTGCTGTCTTGTGACAATGAATCTCAACCGTTTTGAGGCATTCAAACATCCTCTTATATACCAGAGATGCCCTGTATTCATAAGTTTTGTTGTGAGATAATTGCCTGTGGCCAAGCAATGAGCAATAACATAGATGTAGACTGTGGATAATGTGCCTTGTGTTACTACTGTGATTTAACTCAAACATCTTTTCTTTGGGTGTTGATTTTAAATCTAGATTTAAATAAAGATAGCGCTGTTGTTCCCTGGAAGATGGGAAATCAAAGAAAGGGGAAAGGGCGCTTTTTATACTATGCCTACACAGAAATGCAAAAAAAAAAAAAAAAAGTGATTTTAGTGTGAGTTACATGTGAAGCTGTCTTTTGATAAAGAAGCGTTGGATGTAATGTACAGCTTTCCAGAATTTGGAGGTCACAGGTTTGGTACGTTCCTGCACAGATCTGTAGCGCTCCTGCTCATAGGCTGGCAAACCACACTTTCATCATGTATTTCATTCACAACTAGAAAAAGTTGCCTTTATGGAAAAAAGAGAAAATGCGCATAATGATGGTGGCAGAAACAACGTCTCTGAATGAATTCTGACAGAGCAACCATTGAATTCAAATGACTGATCACCTGTTTCTGCTTCTTTCTATGTCTTCATCTCACAGCAGCATGAAACATGTCCAATACCAGCTGACATTTCCAGACTGAAAACAGTTCCTGAAGACTTCTCGCCATTTTTTTTTTCATTTGCTTTTCTTTGTTTCTTCTTTTAGATTTTTGTTTTTGGCAGTTGACAAATAACTAGTTTTGTGTCTGTCTTCTTCTACTCTGTTTATTTGTTGCAGCCATGCATATAGTAGGGGCTGCAAGGTGGAGCGGTGGTGAGTGCCGTTGCCTCGCAGCAAGAAAGGTTTGCGACTCGGTGAGGACACTCAGGATCTTTCTGCGTGGAGTTTGCATGTTCTCCCCGTGCAGCGTGGGTTCTCTCCGGGTTCTCCGGCTTCCTCCCACAGTCCAAAAACATGTTGAGGTTAATTGGTGATTCTAAATTGTCCGTAGGTGTGAATGTGAGTGTGCTTGGTTGTCTGTCTCTAAGTGTAGCCCTGTGATAGACTGGTGACCTGTCCAGGGTGTCCTCTGCCTTCACCCTGAACCAGCTGGGATAGACTCCAGCCCTCCACGACCCTAGTGAGGATTAAGCGGTGTATAGATAATGGATGGACGGATGCGTATAGTAGCCTGTATCTCCCCCTTCCAACAATGCTGTGTAGCACAGTTTATTTGCTACAAAGCAGTTGGTGGAAACAAGTCACATTTTCTTTTCTTTAATAATCTTTCGCAACATTTCAAAAGTTTGCTTCGAATTCACTTGACAGTCACAGTTTGGATTATTTGACGATTAAGCTGATGGATTAACTGATGCAAAACAGTTCCAGCACCCCGGAACCATGAATTCTTATTTTCACATTTTGTGCACATATTAAAATAAAAAAACATGGCATTCTAGTAATATTAATTGGGAGAGAGAGCCAGGCTAGCCTTAAGTCTTTATGCTCAGGAACCAGGTCCTGATTCCAGTTCTTCTCATCATTTGAACAGATCTCGCTCAATTGCAATTTTCTTTACATTTTTTTTTTAGATCGACATTTAAATTACCTGAATCAGCAAATCTTTTCCCCTTGAAGTTTTTTTTTTTCTCCTCCTGTGAAGTAACCAATGGCTTCCACCGCACCGAGGTCACCACACACCAGTGAATCGCTACACCGTCTCCGGAAACGAACGCTCTTTTTTTCTTAATTAAAGGCAAATACCAACAGCAGCAATCTAGGATTTGTATCTGCAAATATTACTTCTCTGCTCTTTCATTGCAAACAACTGAAAACTTACATCGAATTTTTTCCGCCTGCTTCCCAGGTGTCAGTTGGGATCGGCGGTTTAATGAAGTGCTGCAGCAACAGACTGACTCACATATGCATTTCTTAAGGAGCGGCTGTGACTCATAAAGCAACCACTGCAGGAGTACGCGCGCTCTCAAACACACGCCGGGGTGCATGTGCACTTCGGAAGACACATGTATAGCCCAACTGATTTGTAAGCCAGAATTCTCCTGATAAAAACTTTTATTTTTTTCTTGGCTTTGCTGTGACGGCAATGAATAAATTAATGGATAAATAAACAAATCTAGAAAAAGTGACTGCTCAGAAAAAGAAATCAAAGGTTATCATTTGAATACCAAGTGGGGGAAAAAAAACATTCCTTTTTGATGACGACTTGCGATTAAAGGAAAGCTCTACAATCTATAGCGCGGCATGCGTGAAAGACTGATCAAATTCTGGGGGTAAAAAAAAAAAACAGCATACGAGACAGAAAACGGGGAGCGGGAAGAAGAGATAAGATAGTGGAGGGTGGGGGGGGAAGAAAATAGGCGAGAATGAAATAAGGGGAGTGAGAAAAAAAAATGGAGGAAGAAGAAAGATGGAAGGAAAATTACTTCTGACACAAGTGGGAGATGAGCGCAAAGGGAGGGCTGAATTATCAGACGCGCATCTTTGTATGTGTATGTAAATGTGTGTGGTGTCGGTGGGGGTGAAAATATCCATGCGTGTTCTGACAAGACGGCTGTTGACTGGTGAAAGCTGCTTCTAGCTTATTTCCAGCTCGCTCACAGATAACGCTTTTTTTTTACAAAATGCCTCTTTTTGAAACGTGAGGAACTCTGGTCAAAGGCAACACGAGCCAAATCTAAAGGAGATCTCCGCAAAAAACCTTCAAAACTGCTTCTCCGTCTCTCTCGTTGTCACTTCTCTCCGCCTCCTTTTTCCCCTCTTCTTCTTTCAAATTCATTTTCTTTCCCTTCACTTATTTTCAAAGTGCTTACAGAGAGAGAGAGAGAGAGAGAGAGAGAGAGAGAGGGGAGAATGCCTTTCCCTCTGTCCCGCTGGAGCATCAATATACAACAAGGCCCAGAGGTCCAAACAGGAGAAAGGCTGAGGAGAACAGTGCAACACCAATCCATAATGGATTTTCTTCTCTCTTTCATTTGCTTTCTGTGGGGAGATGCAGTGGAGGCACCACCGGCACAAAATGAGAGATGCGGGGAGGGTTTTGGGGGGGGGGAGAGGTGAGGGAGGGAGGTATCGACGGGGGGAGACGCAGAGAGGCCGAAACAGTGTCAATGACAAAAGCGCTTAAGAATATTTCCCTCATCTGTCTCTGGAGGGCTTTCATAACATATGCTTTCAATTGTTTGCGAGGCCGGGCTCATAGCAGAAGGTGACAGGAATTAAAAGCTTTTTTTTGGTGTGGCTTCAACTGATCAGATGGAGAAACTGTCACTAATTAAGCGAGTGCATAACTAAGAGACTGCCAAGAGGTCTGCTGGATATTAGACTGCAAGCAATAATATCCCAGAATGCATAAATGAATCAATGAAAGAGCTGTAATCTTATAATTGCAGACAGTAAAATTACAAGTCTGATTCTCTGGATGGCAAATCCATCCCAACGACATCCATTTCCTCCCCCCAACAGCCGAAAACATGTAAACTTAGCCAACGTGAAACTCTGCAAACCCAGACAGCCACTATTTCAGCCTGCGATGTTAGCACAAGGCAGCATTTTCCGAGGCTGTTAAATTGATAGTTGTACGGGAGGATGAGACTGTTGATTCAGAAATTGTTTGTTTGAGTCTTCACACCCAAGTGAGCTTTATTTCATTTCGCTGGTAGCTCTGAAGCATAAAATGTACCCAGAATATCACAGTGAATAACCTTGGATGCTGCCGCGGCGTCCACAGAGTCAGTCCCCGTATTAGTCACCGAAGGATTTTGCTACAACTCCTTCCGAATGCATCGCTGATTTTTAGTCTTGATTATGGTTTTGCCTCTTTTCCAGTTACCACTCCACTACCTTCATCAATACCTTTAAGTCCAAATGACTCTACAAAGGACATGCAGTTTCAATTTAATACAACTTGGGTTTTAATTTCATGGTTTTGGCCATCCTCGCTGGTGGCCACAAGAACATTGTATCCACAGGGATCTGGGAGAGTTGTGAACAAAATCTCAAGGGATGAGCTGAGAAACAGGTATTTAACTCACAAACATGTCACTTTTCATTGTAATGAAGGGCCAACTGTGTGAATTTTAGTCATCTGTATCTAATCATATCTTTTTAGAATCATATTTAAAATACTTATTTTGTCATTGTAACATGCTGCATCCTGTCAAAGGTCAGCGAATGTTACTCATATTTCGTTGTAAACAAATAAAATTGAAAAATTTTTACATGGGCACTCGGGTGGAATGATTTGGGGGAAAACATCTAACTGCAATTTTTTTTGACAGACGTTGCAACTTGATTCGCAATCAAGCTTCAGCTCAATATTCACAGTATAAAAGGTTTAAAACGTGCGAGGCAGCATTACCATATGACACACCATCAAAAGCGTGACGGTTAAACAAGGGGAACAGCGCGAATCTGCAAAACCCCTGACATGCCGGTTTAAATCCCGGGTCCCCTGCATGACATGCATCATAAATCGCGGCCTTTGCATTTGCTAATTGCATCGCTTCGAATCTGAAACAGATTAATTGTGCGCGCCTAATCCGCACTGATGTCAAATCAAAGATCGGTCAAAAGACAAGCTCTGAAAACACACAGATAACAAATTTACCTTGTCCGTAGGTTCCCAGGACTGGGTGGCCCATCATATACAGATAAGATGTCAAAGTCCTCCTCGAGGGCGAAGCCTTGAAACACTAGCTGTATCCGGTTGTGCTCCGCTGCCACAATGACCCATGTGCAGTTGGCATAGTTAGGATAACCGTAAGGGTATCCGGGGCTCTCTATTGTCCCATTGGGATTGTGTAGTGTGTAACTGCAGTTCTGAGCTGTAACACAAAAAGAGAGAGAGAGAAAAAAGCAGGTATTAAACGACTGAACAGCTAAAAAGAGTGTAGCAACATCGAAGTATGAAAGATTCCTACATCACATAAAAAGACACCTCTCCACTACCAAGAATGGAAATTAGACAAACACACACGTACACAAACGCACACCCACAGTCAAACAGTTTGCACCGAGCGCTGCAACATCCATTATCACCTACAGCGTGCAGCACAAGCCATTAATACGGCGGCGCTAAATGGTTCACCCTCTCCCAGCTTTTCCTCCACCTCCATCATCACACTTGTTCGCACGCCGGCTCTTTAGTAACAGGTTCCCACGTTAATACACGACATAGCCGGACAGAGCGAGTGGACGAGTGGACGGGAGAGGACTAGACACGGGGAGGCACGCTCCAATGCTTCGTTAATCGAACTCATCTCGCATTTTCTTCCGCGGCCATTTGCACAGCTTTCAATCTGAGGTTTTAATTGTGCGTGTTTCCATCTATCAGGCTCGGGGTGGATGGGTGATGTCTGAACCGTGTGTCTGTGTGTTTTCAATCTCCAAACTAAATGACTTGTCTTTGACTAATCTGAGCAGGCCGAGGCTTTTAATCAATGTTAGGGTTTAGTTGTAATTAATCACCAACGGGGACTGGTGTGTGACTGTACTAACTATATTTTGTGCATGCTGTTAGTTTTCGGTGCTAATGGAAGTGCATGTACAAACATCATTCTGTAGTTAATAACACACTAATTAGCTCTCATATTTTGGTTGTACTGGTTACAGGTTAATGTGATTTTTTTATTTTATTTTTTTTTTATCTCCTTGGCAGTTGGGCTAAACAGTTAATCAACTTGAAACTGAAACTGCATCTAAAACAATGCAATTGGCAAATTGTAAAAGGCTGCAATTTAGAATATATGTGTTAGTGCTTAAGCTGTTGTTCCAAAGCTTTTACTAATTCCTGTTGCCTTATGTGTGAAATTTGACTTTAATATACAGTATATATCAATGACATCACAACTGCAATATCTGTACAATAGCAGGATAATTGCTATTAGAACCATTCAGCCCCACTAGATGGTTAAATGTGCTCAGTCACCAGACAGTCACCAGAAAGTGTAGTTTTTGACACGACTGATGGAAACATTCTCCTCAACAGAAACTGGGTTGTTGGCCTTGGTGGAACTGCTCTGAACAGGTTTAAATCTTACTCCTCAATATTCACAGTTACTGTCAACAACTCTTCTTTTTTTTTTCCAACTGCACTCATGTCATGCGGAGTCCCGCAGGGCTCAGTCCTTGGTCCCGTTTTATTCAGTTTACATGAATTGCTCCTGTGGCCTAACACTGCTACGCCGATGACTCATACTTGTATGTCTCAGTTAGCCCTGAAAATTGTGCCAGTCCAGATTCCCTGCGAAACCGCCCTGCTGCCATTAAGGACCGGATGGCTTCCAATTTCCTTCAACTTAAAGTCCTGCTTATTGGTCCTGACCATTTTCTAGCAGTATTACCGATCACTTTGGGTCACTAATACTGAGCATGAAGCACTCAGCCAGAAACTTGGGATTAGTTTTTGTTCACAACCTCAACTTCAGTCAGCATAACAGGACTACGGCTCAATCGTTTTATCAGAGAAAATCCGAAATACTGAAAAGCCAAACCAATGTTCCCCAAAGTTATTGCTAAACAACTTATTCACACCCGTATTTCCCCCCTGCCTGAGCTACTGCAACTCAACATTCACTGTGATGCAGCATTTTCCCAGTTACAGATGGTTCAAAACTCAGCTCACAAATACTCAAAGCAGGGAACATTTAACTCAAGTCCTGACTGAATTACACTTGTTATCCATTGTTTGATTACCTATAAACCTCTACCTGTTCTGGCTCCTTTCTGCATGACCAAAGTCCACAGTCCAGACTAAAAACGAAGACATGCTTTCACTGCTGTAGCCCAAATGCTGTGGAACAAGCTCCCCTCTTACTGTGAAAACAACTCAATCCATCCCTGAGTTAAAGAAGTCATAAAAGCCCACCTATACAGACAGACGTGTGTCTTTCTTAATGTTTATTGTCTTCTTTTAATGTATTGTTATTATGCACTCAACAGAGGTGGAATCAAAAAGGTCACATAAAAAGGACCGGCATAAACCCATATCTGCATACATGCTATTTATACAAATGATCTGCACTTCCCTTTTGTTTGCTTTAGCCACAGACCTGCATCATAATGCAGCCTGATTAAAATATAATTAGGAGAATATAATTGGAGGACATCTGTTAGCTACAAACACCCACATTATTCAACAACACAAACAATGCCGCGCTCGCAGTGGGTATGATTTTTGTTCATTTACCTGCATGTCCTGAGACATAACTGGGAAAATGACTGTGATAAATCAATGCATGGAAATGAGCTATACTACCTCAGGGTATTAAAAGAGGGCATTAAAAAACAGGAAACCTGAGTAAACACAGTGCAGCTTCGAAACATGTAGAAGTGAAGGTTGCTTTGTTAAATCCCTCTGGGGGGACGGAATGTGCATCCCTTATTGAATGTTGTGAAACATACAGATTCTGTTCTACTTTATGTGCAGTCTCTGTTGGGTAGAACGATCCCAAAGCTCACAATCCATCCAAATTTTCACTCTGAAATGTGCTTCGTGTCTGAGAAACCAGCAGGGATTTACAGGTAATAAGGCACCAAGCATGAAGACAACAGAAAAGACAAAAAAAATAAAATAAAATTGGGGCATTTTTTATTTTTTTAGTCTTACTCATGACTGAAACAAATAACAAGAGCTTTCTTTAAGGAAGAACTCGGAGAAAAAGAGAAGAAATTATCAACAAAAACCCAAAAAAAAAGCATGGACATGGATAATCCCCGGTTAGCCAGACGAGTGAATGCTGCATTTGTTTTCACGGCAATAATCTAGTCTTTGTTTTTGCTTTTTTTTTTAAGATTTTGGGGGCTACACGCCGCATCAGGGTGTTTATGAATGCTGAATTGCTGCCTGAAGAACATTAGCTGACACAAACACACACACAGAACCAAACAAAACCAATAATAGCTTTTTTGTTCCAGATAGAGCAACAAAACGGTGATCACGATACTTTTTAAAAAAAATTTTTTTAGGGGGGGGGAGAAGAAGAAGGTGAAAAGTGGAGGCAGTTTGAGAAGGCAAAGACCTCGGCTGTCTGGATGGCATCGGCAGCAGCGGGAGGATAATAGCATCTCCAGTCACAGTATATCCATCATGCCACTGTTGACTCCCCGGGGCCTGTCTCGTCAAAAAACAGGCAGGAGCCTCTCAGCTGTCACTTTCCGGCGCTTCATACGCGCTTGACCTCTTCCAAAAGATGCTAATGTGCGAGCACTTGAACCCTGACAACTTGAATATATTTAAGCTAGGGGTATAATGCTGCGCGGAGAGTTCGGCTCGCTGTTTGCTGGTGAGAGCCGAGAGTGTGACAATGACTTCTTGGAATAAACCACTGAAATCCATGTAAAATGAGATTAACAGTAAGCAAATATGACCTATATACTGTATACGAAGTGCTGAAAATAACCCGAGCAGTGCTGCACTTCTTTCTTATTCTCAGTCCTCGTCTTTAACCAGTAACGAGAGAGAGAAGAACACAAAAGATCAAAGTGGGAGCTATCGTCATCTGATTTTTCATTAAAGCCCTTAAATAGGCTCAGCAAGAGAGCATCCACCCTCCCAATTACCATCAGGTCAATACTAATATCCAGGTAAAACCCCCACATCCAGCTCTCCTACCTGATTTTCATATACACAGCCAGGTCAATAATCTACTCATCATCTCCTTCATTACGAGGCTTCTGCGAGACAAATGCCAATCAATGGCTTGCTCGGCAGCTTGATGGCGGGGCTTGATGGGGGTCAGAGTGGACTGTGTACCTCCTGCACATGGGCAATGAGTTAGATGTGGAAATGGGCTGCACTACAAAACAAAAACCAGGGAGGTTAAGGCAGCTGAATTGTTATTAATCAGCTTCCAGATTGAACTAAAAAAGCTCCAAGAAAGACATATTTCTGTGGCTCTTGAGTTGTTACCAAAGTAAAAACGCTGCAGAGCTGAAAAAAAAAAAAAAAGGCCACAGAGCAGAGAGAGCGTGTTTTGAATAAAAGCTTTTCGTGCAGCCAGCGTGCATGTGTTATTACGGGATGGAACACGCTGTACATGTTGATATATGACAGGTGATCAACCAGGCAGGAACTGGGGCTTCGTGTTTTATGGGTACAATTAAGTGAGGAGGGGGGGGGGGAGAAAAAAAAAATCATGATGGAGAATAAGTCTACTGCCAGAGCTCGGCCGAATGCTGTTTTGAAGTGTGAGCACCTGTGCCAAGTGACTGACTCTTAAATCGATAATGATGCGCACAATCTGGGATAAAAGACTAAGATGGAGCTTTAAGAGAGGCGGCTTTTTTTTCCACTGCAGCTAGAAATTGTTTTATTCTTGAGGGGAAAAAAAAATACAAAATAGATGGTCAGACCTAAAAGGTACCAAAAAACATTGAAGTTCAACCAAAAATACTATTCTGTAGGTATTAGGACACAGAGTTTAATTTTGTATTAATATACATGTTATCGAGGGTTTGGCTTGCTGCACCACTGATTCTGATCGGAGCAACACCGCCCCAAAAATAGTTAACCACCACGAGATAGAAGCGAGGTTAACCAAGGTTCTCCAAGTCTACTTCCTCTGTTCTTTGAAAAACCAAGAGCCTTTGATTAAGTAGATCCTGCACTTGGGGCTCGGTTGAATTATTTAAGCCTCGCCCAGGGTGCATTATGAAATTAGCTGCTGGAAGCTGGCGACCTACTCCGAAGCCCCCTCGGTGTAAATCTGCAGAGAAGAGCCCATCCTGCAGTTGACCCCACTGACACGCCGTAAAGACCCCATAAACAGACTGCTGGCCGTGCTGTTTTAGCCCCGGCTCAACCGGCGGCGAAGTAAAAGGTCGTGTTTTCCCGAGAAGTTGTTTTAAGTTCAGGTGTACAATTATGAATATTGAAGAGTCGCATATGTGTTGGTTCAGCATTTAGGAAAATTGCTTACTTGTTTTTAGCGGTTCGCGTATTTTAGCCCGCGGTGTGTCTTTGCGTTGGCTTGTATCGGGGATGTTAACTACGCTTGATCTCGGTGGATGTTCAACAGACACGCTGTCCAACGCTTAGCCCACTGTGCCACTGGCAGCATCGGCTTGGCGCTAACCGTCTCTGGTGCGCGCTCTTGCCAAATGAGCGTACAGGGAG